CCTATGCCTGTCTGATCGCCCCTGCCCCTCCTCCCCCTCCCTCACCCACCTGAGGCCTCCTCCCCGCCGGGACCTCACCTGTCACCATCAGTTCCAAGGCGTCGCTGGGGTGGGACCTCCCCCGGGGGTTGTGGTACTCGCAGCGATAGCTGCCCCCCTGGGCCTCGGTCACCGCCTCCAGGAAGAACCGGGCCAGCGCCAGGGACTCGTCCGGGTAGTGGTGCTGCACCGGGGAGACCTCTCCCGCCTTGTAGAGCACAAACCTCCAGGCGGGCTGGGGCGCCCGGCACGTCAAAGTCACGTTGGTGCCGGGGGTCACAACCGCGGCCGGCTGAGCCGCCAGTGATGGCTTGGGGGACTTGGGGGGTGAGGTTGTGGGGTCTGCATCAATGGGCCATTTGAACTGGGGTGGTAGGGGTTTGGGGTGTGAGGTTGGGGGGACTGAATAAGTGGGCTGCCTGGGCTTCGGGCGTGGGAAGAATGAAGGCAAGGGCTTGGGGCGCCTGATCTCGGGGTAAGAGCGTGAGGGGACTGGAGGAAAGGGCCTGGGGCTCCTGATTTCGGGGTAAGGGGGTGAGGGGAATGGAGGCAAGGGCCTGGGAAACTTGATCTTGGGGTAAGAGCGTGAGGGGAATGGAGGAAAGGGCCTGGGGCTCCTGATTTCGGGGTAAGGGGGTGAGGGGAATGGAGGCAAGGGCCTGGGAAACTTGATCTTGGGGTAAGAGCGTGAGGGGAATGGAGGAAAGGGCCTGGGGCTCCTGATTTCGGGGTAAGGGAGTGAGGGGAATGGAGGCAAGAGCCTGGGGCGCCTGATCTCCGGGTAAGAGCGTGGGAGAAATCGAGGCAAGGGCCTGGTGGGCCAGCTGGGCCTAGGTGGTGGGGTCCCGGGGAATGAGTCTAGGGAGAAGGAAGCTAGGCCCCCCCTGTGCCTGTCCTTGGGGAACGAGGTGCGGGGGTTTGAATACATGGGCGGCCTGGGTCCTTGGGCTTCCTGGGTGCCTGCGGACATGGAGGGGAAGCTGGGGTGAGAGGAGCGTCGCCTGGACAACCACAGTCCCTTCCTCAGCCTGGGTTCCCTCTCAGGAGCCAGGCATCAACTCCCACGGTGCCCTCCACGTGTGGGTTGTTGTTGTGTGTGTGTGTGTGTGTGTGTGTGTGTGTGTGTGTGTGTTTTAAATATTTTTTAAAATTTAAAAATTTTTTTAAATGACAGGTTTTAAATTAGGTCTTTAATTAATTGGGAGATTGTTTTGGGAAAGGGGGTGAGGTAGAGATCCAACATCCCCTCCTCCCTCGAACCCGAGAGCAAGTTAACCTGGCCGGTGTGGCTCAGTGGATAGAGCGTCGGCCTGTGGACTCAAGGGTCCCAGGTTCGATTCCGGCCAAGGGCATGTACCTTGGTTGCAGGCACATCCCCAGTAGGGGGTGCGCAGGTTGCTGCATGTATTTCAATGTCTCCTGTTGTTTCTTTTTATATTTAAAAAATAAAATAAAATTGATTTCAGAGAGAGAGAGAGAGAAACATCAGTGATGAGAGAAAATCATTGATTGGCTGCCTTCTGCTCGCCCCACACTGGGGATCAAGCCCGCAACCCAGGCATGTGCCCTGATGGGGAATGGGACCGTGGCCTCCTCGTGGTTCATGGGTCCACGCTCACCCACTGAGCCCCTCTGGCTGGGCTCCTCCCCGTTTTTCAAACATCATGTCAAGGAGTTGGGTCCCAGAAACCTGTCATTTTAAACCGTTCTCCGGAATATTTGAAACGCATCCAACATAAGTCAACAGCTGCCAAACTTGCTCTCAGGTTCCAGGAAGGAGGGGATGTTGGCTCTCCACCTCACACCCTTTCCCAAAACAATCTCCCAATTAATTAAAGACCCACGTGTATTTTAAACAATAAAAGTATCAGAAGAAAGTGCAGGAAAATATATTTGTCCTGGGGTAGAGAAGGCTGTCTTAAAATACTAAATGAAAAATTCGGAAGGAATAAGGCTAGTAAATTTGACCTCTCTGACATTTTCAAGTCGTGTCTGAGAAAAGGCAAATAAATCGGAGCACTGGCTGAAATGACTTACTCATAAATGATGTAGAGTAAGAGTATAGAACAGTGATGGCGAACCTTTTGAGCTCGGCGTGTCAGCATTTTGAAAAACCCTAACTTAACTCTGGTGCCGTGTCACATATAGAAATTTTTGATATTTGCAACCATAGTAAAACAAAGATTTATATTTTTGATATTTATTTTATATATTTAAATGCCATTTAACAAAGAAAAATCAGCCAAAAAAATGAGTTCGCGTGTCACCTCTGACACCCGTGTCATAGGTTCGCCATCACTGATATAGAAAGAGCCCTGCCGGTGTTGCTCAGCGGTTAGAGCGTTGGCCCGAACACCGCAGGGTCACGGGCATGTACCTGGATTGCAGGTTCAATCCCCCATCACCCTGGGGGCAGGTTCAGAAGGCAACCAATCTATGTGTCTTTCTCACATTGATGTTTTTCTCTCTCTCTTTCTCTCTCTCTCTCTCTCTCTCTCCCCTCCTTCCCTCTCTTCCACTCTCTCTAAAAATCAATGGGAAAAATATACTCGGGTGAGGATTAATAAACAAACAAAAGAAGAGTCTAGAGAAAGAACTCCAAGGCCAACCCAATTGAAAGTTGGGTAAAACATATGACGAGGCATTTACCAGAACAGGAAGTACAGTTGACCAATACACGTTTGGCGGTGCTGGGAAGGATTGTCCAACCTTACTAGCAATCATTTAAAAAACTAAAACAGGTCCTAGCTCTGTCGCACAGGTGGTCAGAGTGTCATCCCAATATGCCAAGGTTGCCGGTTCGATTCCCAGTCAGGGCACATACAATAATCAACCAATGAATGCATAAATAAGTGAACAACAAATCAGTGTCTCCAATCTCTCTCTCCCTCTCTCTCTCTCTCTCTCTCTCTCTCTCTCGCGCGCGCGCGCGCGTGTGCGCTTTAAAAATCAATTTAAAAATTAAAACAAAGGCCCTGGCTGGTGCTGCTCAGTGGTTAGAGCATCGGCCTGCACACCAAGGGTAATGGGTTGTTCAATTCCTGGTCAAGGGCATAGACCTGGGTTGCAGGTTTGATTGTGGGGGAAGCAACCCATCAATGTGTTCCTCTCACATTGATATTTCTCTCTACCCCCAGCCCTCCCTCCCTTCCTCCCTCCCTTCTACTCCCTCTAAAGACTAATAGGGGAAATATCCTCAGGGGAGGGTTAACAACAAGAAAAAATGGGAACAACAGTAAGATATACTTGAGGATCCGGTTTTAAACAACGGCAGTATTCCACGTGGGTGAAGGCCCTTAGGTGCACTCACTGAGTGTGCCTTGTGAGCAGGCAATTTGCCAGTTTCTATCAAGATACACAAAGAGGCCCTGGCCGGCCTGGCTCAGTGGACAGAGCGTCGGCCCACGGGCGTAAGGGTCCCGAGTTCGACTCCAGTCAAGGGCACATGCCCCAGTTGCACGCGAAAAAGCTCAACCAGAAGCAGTCCCTACAGCACTGGTGGGGAGGGGGCAAACTGGAAACAGCCTAAATACACATCAAGAGGACCAAACAAATGAGAATCCAGCCATACCATGGTAAGCGCTTAAATGACAGCAGTTAAAAGGGGGGCGGGGGGAACCCTACCTAGTTTGGCTCAGTGGATAGAGTGTTGGCCCGTGGACTGAGGGTCCCGGGTTCGATCGAGGTCAAGAGCATGTACCTCTGTTGCAGGCTTGATCCCGGGCCCTGGTTGGGGTGTGTGCAGGAGGCAACCAATCGATGTGTCTCTCTCACATCCATGTTTCTCTCTGTGTGTGTCCCCCCCCCCCCGCCCTTTCCACTGTCTAAAAAAATCAATGGAAAAATATACTCGAGTGAGGATTAACAAAAAATAAAAGTGGGGGGAGGGAGGGGGAGGAAGAGCTAGCTAAATGACATGGAAATATCTCCAAGAGAGATTGTAAAGTGGAAAAAGAAAGATGCAGAACAGAGTGAGTCACGAAACATCAAGTTTTCCTTGGCAAGAAAACCAAGAAGTATGTAAATACGCGTATGTGTTTGAATGCTTGGAAATTTTTGGGAAGGATTCAGAGATTATTTAAGGAAGAGGAGGAAGGGGAAGAGAGAGACTGTTTTATGTCCTCCAGCAATGATTGGATTTTTTTTAAGACCACGAATATATTTTCGCTTTGTCTTTTAGACATCGTAATTCAAAATAAACTGATAGCTTATGTATGCATGGTTTTCTAGGTGGTTCTTATTTGAAATTTGAGTGTTGTGGGTGGGGGGAGGTTTGAGAGAAAGAAGAGGTCTCACTTTCAGAAGATCTAGAAAGAAACAAGGCTACTTCAGAGTGAGGGATCCTCCTTTCTAAATAAGGGAATAATTAGTGTTGCCAGAAACTCTATCTCTCGAGCCCTGTGCTCTGCCAGATTCTGAGCCTCGGGCTTGACACACGTGGTGTTATTAAATCCTCACGATGGCCCATTTCACAGAGAAGGGAACTGAGTCTTCGCGTGCTGTGGCTTGTTCAAGCTCATAAATGAATAACACGGTGGAAGTGGCATTCCAGTTTAGATCTCTTTAGCCACAAAGTTCATGGTCTCACCACTCACCTATACTGGTCACTGAAGGGAGTGAAGAAGGAAAGAAAGGAAGAGGAGGAGGAGGAGGAGGGAGAGAACTAAGGAAATCTTGGGGTGAGGTGGGCACCAAAAATAAAATGTAAGCAGCTGGAAATGGGGTGTCAGCAACATGGGGGTGGTGTACTCACCATTCGAAGTGACGCCTGTGTGACACAGAGGCCCTGTGGAAGGTTGAGGGGGCTCGGTCTTGTCAAAGCCCCACGTCAGTGACCACCCCGGAATCTAAGTCCTCAGGCCCTCTTTCTTCTGGGTGAATCCCAGCCACACTTCCTCCTCTCTCGGTAGAAAGACTTCCGATCCCCACCTGCTTAAGCCAGAAATCTGGACCCAGGACCCCCTTGCCTCTGTACCCAAGAGGTAAGCCCTTGGACCCCCCCTTTTGCAGGAGACAGTCATCTGAGCCCAGAGTTTCTCCTTGCTGGGGTTCAGGAGTCTGGGCCTCAGCTCCCCCTGTTCCCAGGTGTCCTGGCTTCCACCTCCCCACCCACCTCAGAATCCAGGACTTGATACTCCCTGTCCCCAGGAGTCCACGAGTCTAGCTCTCTCCTGCCTCAGGAGCCAGAGAATCCTGCCCCCAACTTCCTCTTCTTCCAGGAACCCGGGGATTCGGGGCTCCTGTGTCCTCTTGCTTTAGGCCCCCCTCTTGTCCCCCATTATTCTGGCCTGGAGTTCTGAACCCTCAGCTAATTCTGCCTGATCACCCTGCACCTGCCCCCAGGGAGACCCAGTAGTTGGGTCCCTTGCTCCCACCCCCCTCGCTAGGTGTCTGGGTCCCCAGAGCCTGTCTTTCTGTAACCCCAGCCCCACTAGGGACCCAGAGAGAGGGCGTGGGGTAGCTCACACGAGAGGGCCAACAGCTGGAGGACCAGTACCAGGGCCATGGTGGGCAGGTCTGGCTGGAGCTGGAGCAGAAGGCAGGGCTCAGCTGGGCCCTCTCACCTCCCAGGAAGTGAGGCAACATCAGAAAGTCAGAGTCAGAACCCTGTT